GATGGCGATGCTTCATCTTATATGTAAAAACTATTATTATAATTATTATATTAAGTACCAGAACTTAGTATTTTACTGAATTTACGAATAACTTTATCCAATCACTCACCCAACTAAAGTTGCTGAATTTATATATAGTATTTTTTTTTTTCACTCTCTTGATGTTCTTTTCATTGTTGAAAATTTTGGTTGGGTTTGCATCAATGAACTTTTGCTAAATAAGGCTGAATAACCCAAAAGAGAACTGAAATTGCAGTTTCTTGACTCGAAGTTGCCATGTCCTTCAACTTCAAGCTAAATCTAGACAACTGACCTGTTGCATTTCTTACTGCCCCAATGGTCTACATAGCATTGGGTAGCCACATACTAAATTCTCAAAAATCTTAATTTAATAGAGGTGTTTTAGTAAATTTTTACGTAATTTACTTGTATTGATTCGACAAAATTTAATAAAAATAAAAAAAAAGTAAAAAAATTTTCTTAAAATGCTTTATATTTATATTTATATTATATATGGTTATAATTTTTTATTCAATACAATTTGATTATTAATAAGAATAATTGGTTAAAATGTGAAAGGTGTAATATTTTCAAATATATTATCATATAAATTAATCTTTAAATTTTACTTATTTGAAAATAATATTTATTTTATAATAAGATCTTGTTTCAATAGTAAAAAAGAAGCCTTCGCACCTTTAAATCTTTAGGTTTAATTTCAGTCAAGTGTGAGTTTAATCTAAAATTACCTATGGATTGATTGGTCGTTAATTTAGTTTGTTTATTAGTTTCTTTTATTGATGTATGTTAAAATTATTTAATTATGATTGTAATTTCTTTATATATATATAATTTCATAGAAAAATTGTTTACTCTTGTATCTAAATACATTATTTTTAAAAAAAATAAATAAATAATAACAAAGTAAGAACAAAATAAGACCCAACTTAACTTATAAAATTCAAAGATGATCAAATTATAAATTTAAAATAGTATCTCATTATTATTGTATTAACCTTTTAATGAAATAGCAAGATAATACACTGTAATTTTATAAACTTTAAAATTTTGAGATTTAACATAGAATTTTTTATAACATAAAATATATAATGTCATGCTTACATAATGAAAATAAAATACAACCCTTAAGTTTTTTTTTCTTGCTACGCCCTGCTACATAGGACACAGGACAGAATATATTATGAGATATTTTATTCTTGTTAAAATTTTAAAAAATATCAATTTGTAAAAGGTTCTAAAAAATAACATAGTAGATGGTATGTGTCGAGTTTAGCGTCCGAGGGTCAAATTTTGTTTTTAGAACATTAATACTGATCCACTCCATCACTTGTCACTAATAGCATGAAGAATAAAGAGAAGAGAAAATAAAAAATAAAAAAGTGAAAAAATGTTTAAATTTTATTTTTTTTATAAAATAAAAATATGTGCCAGATTTTTTAAAAATATTTTTAGTAATTAATTTTTATTTTAATTTTAATTATTTAAAGGTAGATTTTGAAGGGAACTTTTTTTAAAAAATTTCCTAAAATTATTAAATATCAAAATTTAGTGGCAAATTAAATTAAAAGCTAAAGTCCATTGACAAAATTAATCAAATTAAAGTGGAAAAATTCAATATTGATGTACAGTATAGTGACAAATTTGACTTTACTCTAAAAAAAAAAATCAAAACCCCTTGCTTTTTTTTTTAATATTCGAGAATTGGATATGAAATGAGATTTTTTAGCAGAAAAAATGCAAATAACCGTCGAACTAAATACTCAAATGTCAAATTTATAAATTTAAAAAAATTATAAATTTTAAAATTTTAAAATCAGACAGAGAGGAGAAGATATATAAATGAATAAGATGTTTTTTTTTTTTTCATTTTTTCTTACTATATAAATATATTTAACTTTTATACTTGTCTAATTCATTTAAGAAAAATGTAATCAAATGTCTAAATTCTAAAATGATATTTATAAAAAAAATTGTAATTGATATATTATATTTTTAAAAAATTGATAAAAAATACATTAAATAAAAAATTATCAAATACATTGATACTAAAATTTTTAAGCTTTATAGTTAACATAATGACATATACCCTTTAGAAGGTATTTGATTCGAAAATTTTTAAATTTTGAGAGAGAAACTGATATTAAAGAGGAACGCATGAATTAAGTTTTGTTGACCTTATGGAATGTAAGATTTTTACATTTGGTTATATGAATGTAAGATTACGTAATAAAATTTTTATTGTATTATCTTTAATAACAGTGAATAACATATGACATTCATAACAAATAATACATAATAACACATGAATAAAAAATAATTTATTTAAAATTTTGTTTATTTAATATATAAATTGTTCATTTAATTTTTTTGTTAAATTATTAAAGTAAAAGTATTTTAGATTTTATTACATATATAATATATGCAATAATAAATTTTATATGTAATAATAAAATTTAAACATAATATAATTTTTTTTCATATTTTCAATAAAAATTATGTTTTTAATATTAAAAATGTCATCTTCATTAAAATTTAGAAATTCTGAAAAATATATATTTTTTCATATTTGTAACAAAAACCTTGTTTTTTATATTAAAAATGTTATTTTTGTTGAATTTTAAAAAATGTTTTTTAATATTTTCAACAAAAATTGCATTTTTATTTTAAATATATCATTTTTGTTGAATTTTGAAAATTAAATAAAATGCAACATGTAAAATTAGTACCTTTTTAAAGTAAATAATGTTTATGTAATATGAAAATATAATTAAGTTAGTGCAAATGTGACAAAAAATTATTATTTTTTTTGGAAATCTAAAAAGAAAATTCAAGGAAAATTTTTTTTAATTCTCCTACTTTCTCCTTTTTTACATTGTTGAGATTGTAAAATTCTTAGTAGGGGAGAAAATTTTTGAATCAGACTAAAGAATTAGTTAATAAAAAGTTAAATTTCAAAATGGAAAGCTAGATTCGTTAAACCTAATAGTCCTTTAAAAAGTTAAAGTATATTGAAAAATAACAAAAAAATTTGTTTGTAGAATTAAAAACTTATTGATAGTATGAGAAATAATTTCTTTTAAATAAAAACTATTTTTTTAAATAGCAACTTAATTTTAGAGAAAAAATATCAAAATTCTAGGAGAAGGAAAGGAAAATTCAATTCTCAACCTCGTTGGGACACGCTTTACGAGACAAGTTACAAACTCCAGCGGGGGCTGTTACTCCATAAAATAAACGCAGTAACGGTCGTCTTAACTTTGCTTCCTCAATTTAAGGAAAACACCAATATCAAGACAAATTGAATTTTGCACGACCCAACTCCAACGCTATCACCATAATTTTCAACCATGAATCATCAATGTCATGTCTTTTCTGTTGTCACTGATGATGGTGTTTTTGGGTATTTAGTTGAAACTAAGCTGTTTGGAGATCGAATGAGGGGAAAACCTGGACTTACGGTTTTTTTAAAAAAAAAGGGATATTGGAATTGGTTTTTCAAGATGTGTTTCAAGCTCAAATCTAAGGTATTTGAGGGTTTTGTGAGGAACAAGGTAAACATTGAATAATAAGAAAGCTTAAGGGAGAAAGATGCTTAGTTTGTGTGTATTTGAGCCTACTTTTGATTTTATATATGAGATGAAGAGGTGATGATATGATTAAGATAATTAACAATTGATAATGAATTTATATGAAATTAAAAAAAAATCACTTGAGTGATTATGAATTACATTTAATAATTCCTGACAAACATGAAATGAATTTAATAGTTTCCAACAAATTTGAGACCTAATCTACAATTCAAAAGTGATGTCTTAACGGGATATAAGTAGAGGTGTTAAGCAGTTCTTCCTTGGCGAGAAGCAAGCCTGTTTTATAACAATAAATTTGGATGTCGAACTTCACTTGTAGAATTGTAACGATGTGATAATCAGGCGTGTATTAACTAAACGATCAAGGAGAATGACTTTGATGACCGAGTAAATAAACATAATAACCACCAAACTAATTGCGGACAGCAAGGTCACTGCCATTTTTTGTTGGTTTAGTTTCTCATTGTCCATCTGTGCTTTTTCCTCAATTGGAATCCCTTAATTCTTCTTGTTTTTTTTTTTTTTTTTTTAATTATTATCAAAGAATAGTTGTTCGCTTTACACTCTATAAGCTTATGGTCTAAATCATTCTATGTAGATTTAAATAAACCATATGAAAGAGAATGAAGTAACTGAATTCCAAACGCACTATTTTGAGTAAAATTAGTTAAAAAATCAGCAGAAAATCACTTTTCTGTATACATGTTTCATACAACCAATTCAATCCTTCTTCATCAAATTTTCTGTCCTTAACATTTGTGGTGGACTAATGGGAAAAAAAGTACTATAATTCTACCAAGATAGTCAGGTAGGGAAATGAAAACGAACAACGCTTTTAAAATGAGAAAGAATGTTATAAACATTTTCCTACTTTGACAGCCAAGAGATGCTACATTCATCCTGTGGTCTTGGGACCCAAATGACCAGAGCCTAGCATACGGACACACCAACAGCATTAAAGAATTATGTATAAGATCATTAACTCCAAGCCAACGATGCTTAAAGCTTTGACGGTGTCACCACTGATTTACTCCAATGAAAAGTAGACATGTTCAAGGATCAGCCGTTGCTTGCGTGGGCAGAGGCTATTACCAAGGACTATGAGAAACAACTTCTGCAAACAAGGACCATAACCAGATTAACTTCTACCACCCCACCGGTTAATCGAAGTTCCTAATTCCATCCAATCGGCATTCAAGATTCACCAACCTCCTTAAATTACTACCAGCACAAGAAGACACAAAAAATGTCCCCTCCCTCCTCTCAGATATTTCTAGTCTCAAAAACACTACACCTCAACTCACTTGCTCATTTGTTCTGCATCCTCTCTCTCTCTCTCTCTCTCTCTCCCTTCCAAAAACTATTTTTTCTCTTTCTCTTTCTCTGATAATGGCTGAAAAGACAGTAAAATGGTTGTTTCTCATTCTAAGCTACCTGTCCTTTGCTCTTCTCTTCTCGGCAGGCAACCCATTGATAAAGAAGACCTACATCGTCCAAATGGAAAAGTCTGCCATGCCAACATCATTCTCTAGTCAGCTGGAATGGTACTCGTCAAAATTAAAGTCAGTAACGTCCAACACCAAGAGTGAAGGTGATGGAGATGATGAAGATAGGATAATCTATAGCTACCAAAATGCTTTTCATGGAGTTGCTGCTCAGTTAACTGAAGAAGAAGCTGAGAGGCTAGAAGAAGAAGATGGTGTAGTAGCTATACTTCCAGAGACGAACTATCAACTGCACACCACAAGGAGTCCCATATTCCTCGGATTAGAACCAGAAGAGAGTACTAGCATCTGGTCTAAAAGACTTCCAGACCATGATGTCATAGTTGGAGTACTTGATACTGGAATTTGGCCAGAAAGTGCAAGCTTTAATGATACAGGGATGACACCAGTGCCCGCTCACTGGAAAGGAATATGTGAAACTGGACGAAGCTTTGAAAAGCATCACTGCAATAGGAAAATTGTGGGTGCAAGGGTATTCTACCACGGATATGAAGCTGCCACCGGAAAAATCAATGAGAAAAACGAATACAAATCACCACGAGATCAAGATGGGCACGGTACTCACACAGCAGCCACTGTTGCTGGCTCTCCAGTACGTGGCGCAAATCTCCTTGGTTATGCCTATGGAACAGCTAGAGGAATGGCACCTGGTGCAAGAATTGCAGCTTACAAGGTTTGCTGGACTGGTGGGTGCTTCAGCTCAGATATTTTGTCGGCAGTTGACAGAGCTGTGGCCGATGGAGTAAATGTTTTGTCAATATCTTTGGGTGGTGGGGTATCATCTTACTCTCGTGACAGTTTGGCAATAGCAACTTTTGGAGCAATGGAGATGGGTGTTTTTGTATCTTGCTCAGCTGGCAATGGAGGACCAGATCCAGTCAGCCTCACAAATGTATCACCATGGATCACTACAGTCGGTGCTAGCACCATGGATAGAGACTTTCCGGCTAACGTTAAGCTAGGAACTGGGAGAACTGTAACTGGAGTTTCACTCTACAAAGGCCGGAGGTTTCTGTTGGTAAACAAGCAATATCCTCTTGCTTATATGGGCAGTAATTCAAGCAGCTCTGATCCAAGTTCGTTATGTCTAGAGGGAACTTTGGATCCAAATGCCGTTACTGGAAAAATTGTGATATGTGATCGTGGAATAAGTCCTCGAGTGCAGAAAGGTCAGGTAGTGAAAGATGCTGGAGGAGTAGGAATGATTTTGACAAACACAGTAGCAAATGGGGAGGAGCTTGTTGCAGATTGTCACCTCCTTCCAGCAGTTGCTGTGGGAGAGATGGAAGGGAAGGCAATCAAGCATTATGCTTTGACAAATCGAAAAGCAACTGCAACTCTAGCATTTCTTGGTACCAGATTGGGGATTAGGCCATCTCCAGTGGTGGCAGCATTTTCATCTAGAGGACCAAATTACCTCACAATAGAAATTCTGAAACCTGATGTGGTCGCACCTGGGGTGAATATTCTTGCTGCCTGGACTGGAGAATTAGGTCCATCAAGTCTTCCAACAGATCACAGGAGAGTGAAATTCAATATACTATCTGGGACTTCCATGTCATGCCCTCATGTGAGTGGAATTGCTGCCTTGCTCAAGGCCAGACACCCAGGGTGGAGTCCTGCAGCAATAAAATCTGCTCTAATGACAACCGCATATGTTCATGATAACACCCGAAATCCTCTCCAAGATGCTTCGGTAGCTGCACCTTCAAGTCCGTATGATCATGGGGCTGGACACATAAACCCATTGAAAGCTCTAGACCCAGGTTTGATTTATGACATTGAAGCCCAGGATTACTTTGAATTCCTCTGCACACAGAAATTAACTACAACGCAGCTAAAAGTTTTTGGCAAGTATTCGAACAGATCTTGCCATCACACACTTTCCAGTCCAGGAGACTTGAACTATCCAGCAATCTCAGTGGTTTTCCCAGAAGACACAAGCATTTCAGTTTTGACCCTCCACAGGACAGTCACAAATGTCGGCCCTCCTATTTCAAATTACCATGTTGTAGTTACACCATTTAAAGGAGTCACCGTTAAAGTTGATCCAGAATCCCTAAATTTCACCAGAAAAAACCAGAAACTATCTTACAAGATCACTTTCACAACAAAATCTCCGCAAACAATGCCCGAGTTCGGAGGGCTGGTGTGGAAGGATGGAGTGCACAAAGTAAGAAGCCCGATTGTTGTCACATGGTTACCACCATTGTAAATTGCAGGAATGGATTTTCGGTCACCTATGATTCCAAATAAACAGGATGTTTTCTAGAGGGCTAAGGGGCTCGCTAATTTTATCATTAATGCATTGCTTTCTCTGTTTTTTACAACAATTTTGTAGCTTTCACATGATAGAGCTGTTAAAAACAAAGTGTTCTATTCTATTCACCATCTCAATCGTTTGGAAAGACATTAAGTATAAAAGTGGGAGTTGCTTCCGATGGGTATTCCATGTCGCATGATTCTTTTTCCATGTCGCATGATTCTTTAGCTTTCAGCAACCCAGTATTTATATAGCCATAGTCATGGCTGCTATAGTCAGATGGGCCAAATCTAGTATAGCTTCATTATATGTTTCATTCACCAAAAATAACAGTTTGAGCCATCTAGTGTAAGCTTTAATCAAACGCCAGGGCATCGCAGGTTTCAATGCCTAGATCAAGCAGACAAGAAATGAATATCTGACCACTAAAATTGGACGTGCGTACAACTGAGATAGCGTTACCTAGCCAGCAGAAAAAAAGAGAGAAAACAGAACCACATGCAGGAACTCAAAAACTCAAAATAGGCTCTGTTTTTTTCTATTCTAATGTAGATGATATCTACTTTTAAAGATGTGGTTAAGCATTAAATGGAAAATTATATACTATGATACAGTAAGTCTCACTCTACCACCAACTATATTAATCACTGATTTCCTCTCGAAATAAATGGCACACACAGCACACAATTTTTTACCTTTTCATTCAGAAATATATAATCCAATGCAAATATCAACATTTGTCAATAAGTTGAATGCAAGCAATTTACTGTTATTCATGAGAAAAAAAAATGGAAAGAACGGAAGACAATTCATTTTGTGGTTAGAGCTCAGTCTCTTCCTTCTTTCCTTATGACTTCATTTCATCCACGCGTTCTGATAATTCTGTTATGCACAATTAAGGATCAGCTAAAATCGTAATGTACCCAACAGGTTTTCACACCACCTACTCACCAACTGGCATAATAAAACAAATGAATTTAGAAAGACCAACAACCTGAAGGATTCTTCCTTCTGTTGTTATCATAATTATTTTCATTATACATTTTAGGTACAGTTTCATATTCTCATTGATAATTTTTTTTCTAAATCTACAGATTGGAAGGGGGCATTAATTAAGTATTTCACTTATTTTATTTTGTTTGTCCGAAGATGTCCAAATTGAATTTAGAAAAGCAGATTACGTAAAAAGATGCAACAATGGTAGGCAGATAGGCCATTTGAACCATAGGTAGAGACACAATTTTACCTCAACAAGCAAAGGAAGAAATGTTGGAATGGAAACATATATATATATACACACACACATACGAGTAGGGATCTACTTATACTAGTGCAATTGTTACACATTATATATATATATATATGATATATATATATATATATGATGAGTAGAGATCCACTTATACTAGTGCAAGTGTTACACACTTCTTTGACCCTTTGATCAAAATTAAATCCATAACACTTTAACCATTTTAATTTAATGATCAAAAAAATGTGTAACACTTACACTAGTGTAAGTGGAATCTATCTATCTATCCATCTAATAGATAGATAGAATATGTATATATATATATATATATATATATATATATATATATATATATATATAGACCAGATAAAGGAAATATAAGACTGCAATGAAATTTCATAGCCGTGAATATAAAATGGAGAGCCATAAAGTGAGAGTCATTGTGTGTTATCACCAATCCTATAAAGGAAAACATTATTGCCTCTAGAAAAGGTAATAATCTTAAAATATGAAAACAGCCTTTTAGTAGATAAAATTCTTTCTATTATTAGAAACTTAATCTATATTACCAAATGTGGAGTACAAAGAACAACTAAGCATTAAAAAAAGACCACCTAATATCACTTACAAATATTTATTTCCATTCCTGAACATATATTCTATTGTAAGTGTCCAACATCAGGTTCAAAAAGAGTCCAATGAATAGGCCTTTCCTGGTGCATAGAGATGATTTTCATCCTCACACTGTCATTAGTAAGCAAACAGCAAAAAGAACTCTATTCATTTTTTTCATTTCAAGTTCTGAAACTCAAAATAGTCATGGTTAGTTCCTAACAATGTTTTGAAACTGTAACAAAGGTTGAACAGATGAGGGTTTCGGTTCCCAGTCCAACTGCACTTGCTGAGGTACCTGACATTGTAAAAGGACAAGATTATGCAGAGTTTAACCTTGTGGAGTCTGTTCGGAAAATGAAAAAAAATAAAAGTAATTTACTCTCAAATAACAAGTCCTGCCTCCTGTGGACAGCCTTTATGCCTAAAAAATATGGAGTGAGCTGAATAATGTAGTAAAAAAGAAACAAATTCAATATGATGAACAATGCATTTGACAAAAGCTAGCACAATAAATTTTCTTCTATTACTGAAAGTAAAATTGGCACTGTCATCCTCTTCAAGTGTCATGTCCAGATGGAAGTTAGAAAATTTTCTGTCTCAAAGTGACAGAAAGTTCTTTTACTATCCTTGAGCCTGATAAAAGACCAAACTCTTTCAAATATTACAACAAGAAGAAATCAGTGCCTTTTATGAACAACCAACTGAAGACCCTAGGAAAGCCAAGGGCTCTTACTATTTCTTGCATTCGAACCAACATAACTATTCAATTATTTAAACTTTACCAGATTTCCGAATGGGAAAAAATAGCTTTCCTATGGCTATGACTGAAAAATGAGAACCTTGAAACTCTATATAAGTTGGGTTGGGCTGAAATCGACAGGATAAGGCACAAAGATTAGTCAAGCAGCTTTGTTGTCCTGATATCTGAATTGGTATTTGTTGTTCAAACTATTCTCAGATGAAAGTGTAGGGGTGGTTCTTCTTTCAGATTGATGATCATCTGCCTAATCAAACTATTTCATCTCCTCAACTACCTAATTTTTTGGCAGAAAATCCAATCGCCTTTATCAGTTTAGTAGCAGTGCAATGCACGATGCAAAGACATCTATTAATCGAATTGGTGATTCTGTATCCATACATAACAGTTACCAAGTCAGATAGATAACAACATAAAAAGATTATCTCACGGGGTCTGTCGAATAAGTTTCTGGTTTGTCCCATGTTGTTAGTTGAAATTTTTTGACTTTAATCTACCCTTTATCTCCAGAAAAGCAATTATCAATTTTCCCCAATCAGTAAAAGACATTCTGTTCTTGCATTTCACTTCAAATGTGGATGGCAAACAAACAAGTTATGCTCTTTTAATTTTGCCGCAATTTTCCAGCTTTACCGGCAACCATGAAAACAATAATACAATGCAAGTGCTAGTGTCACGGACCTAAGGAAGAGTCCTGAATCCCACATCGAACATAATAGGAGGGTCATTGGGGTATATAAGGGTTCACACCACCTCTGCTTTGTGAGGCGTCTTTTGTAGGACAAAATCGTGAGGCCAAGGGAGTCAGAGTGGACAATACCTCATAAGGGTGTGAACTGTGCCGGCTAATCTGGGACACCGGATGAGTGCATGCCTAGGTCTCGGAGCCGTGCGGGTTCGGAGCTTAAGTCTCGACCTGTGACAAGTGGTATCAGAGCCAACCCTAAACCATTCGATCCACGCCAAGCGCCTCGAGGGAGGTAGGCAAGGTGGCCAACCTCTGTGACGAGGGCGTCACGAGGTTGGGTGGGGGAGAATGTCACGGACCTAAGGAAGAGTCTTAAATCTCACATCAAACATAATAAGAGGGTCACTAGGGTATATAAGGGTTCACACTACCTCTGCCTTGTGAGGCGCCTTTTGTAGGACAAAACCGTGAGGCTATGGGGGCCAGAGCGGATAATACCTCACAAGGGTGTGAACTATGACAGGAAGGCTGATCTGAGACATTGGATGAGTGCATGCTCGGGTCCCGGAGCCGCACGGGTTCGGAGCTTAAGTCTCGACCCGTGACACTAGTACATGAAAATTTTAAAAAAAGAGAGGCAACTAATTTGAAAAAAATATATATAGAGAAAAGTGTTAGAAAAAATAAATAAAAAAAAGAAATAATAGAAAAAAATTTGGTTTGAGGCGTGAATAACATTTTTTAAAAACAATTATGCCTTTAAGATACAATAAAATCTCAAACTCTCTAATAAGAAGTAGTGATAATAGTTATATTGAAAGATTTATTTATAATGAATGAACATACATAAACTTCTATTAAGATGGTTATGACCTTTTGTATAATCATGATTTTTATGAACAATAATTTATTTATATTCAAATAGTTATGACCATTTGTCATATGATAATTGTTTCTGTTCAAACATAATTATTTAAAATATGAATAAAATTAATACAAAAATTAATTTTATTCATAAATAATTAAATCTTTCTATCCAATGTGAGATGTACCACATTTTAAACTATCAACAATCCCCCACTAGTTTGGAATGTTGATGCTTAATTTTTAACTTTTTACACAAATAAATATTATAAATACAAGAAGGTATCTTTCGATTTAAACATTCAATTAACGTATATATCTTAAAATTCTAATGAAGTTAATGGTGTCCGTAAATTAAACCTCAACTCCTAATATTAGAATTAAAGATATAACACATATAATACTTATTTATTCTTTTGTTCGAAGTTTATAACCGCTTTTAGTACTATTATAGCTATGTGCTTACCCTATTCATAAATATTTACAAGAGAGACCCCAATTCTTCTTGTTTAAGCGACACCATTTCTATGTTTATATAGGTAGAGTTTTCATTATGTCGTCATTACTTTAGACATTTAAAACTCTATTAAGAGTATAAAAACTCATCCTCCCCATAAAATAGATCACACTAGTTTCTAAAATTTGAATGAATTTTATTAGTGCTTAACAGACACATAACAATAACTTATTTTTACCCATTAAACTATGTAATTAGAGGTTACTAATTCAAAATTAGGTTCCCATTATTGGTGTCTAATAATAAGGGTTTAAATCCATTATACT